AAAAAAATTAATTCAACCATAAGTAAATTTAAACGCATATGTCACGAGATCCTTAAAAACTTAAAAGAGCTCCAATCAGGAAATGATCCTAGTCATCACTAAAACTATACATAGAGAAATGCCTGCTATGAAGAACTAAATGTATTCATAATCTGTTGAAACAAGTAGCTGGCTATATCCTTTCCATAGCTGGGGAGACTGAGTGTAACATCTAACAAAATTCACTCAGCAAAATATGTTGTAACCTGTGAGTTATAATCATTCTAACGAAGAGTAACGTATATACAAAACTCGAATCGCTAGCCTTTGTTGTCTATGGTCGTGATTTACGCTTACGACTGTTTGATCGTTTCCGAGATGTTTCAATACCATTCACACTTCCCTTTTGCCATTTGAGATCGCTGTTACTCAGAGGATTAGATTCGAAACCTTTGATGTTGGTTACGATGGCATAGACAGTGGCCTCGCTTTTGGGGGATGAAAAAACCTTCCTCTCAATGAGTGAATTCTGCCCACACCGAAATTCTTCCACTGCAGCCTCGCTTAGCTTTTGGAATATCTCCTCCTTGTCAGGTTCAAAACTCTTCGCTGAAACCTGCACAAGTGATAAAACCTGTTATTCCAAGTGCTGTGCTGAATTTTACCATCAAGATTAACATAACGATGAATAATAGACGACGATTAAATGGATAAATTAAAAAAATTGATGAATTGAGAGTAATCGCTCTTCTCACCTTAAAATCAAAAGGGATAGTGATTTGGGTGCACTGACAACCACAACCATCACTAAAATTGAGTTTCAACATGATGTCAAATACTTCAGTAGTAATGGTTCTCCTGATATACATTAAAGAACAAGAGGATAAGTAAGTTGGAATAAAATGTATGCCATGACATGCGAACCACTGGACCTTACTAGGAAAGCAAAGCTAAGAAAGTAGTAATTCAAATCGATAAGCTCACGATTCCCAGGTAAATAAAGTATTATGCGCTCAGATGAAATCAACTACATCTTCTCCATACACTCTAACCAGCTTGGTAAAATTCAATTTGAACTGGGACAACACAATTTTGAAAGGAGACTTGTTACAGAAGCTAAAAGCAATAAGATTTTTGTATGTATGATAAAGTGGAATGGGGAACACTTCCATGGTTTAACTCTCACAGAAGCTAAACATTGAGTTAACCTTTGTCTGATTCCCATCACTTGTGTAACCTAAATAATATTCCCTAGCTGGGATTTGAGTATGGTGGAAAAAAATTTCCGTATTGCAGTCCTACACAAAATTTTAATTGACATATTTTCGATCCCCATTACATGTATCATCCAATAGGATTAAAGTTACCTCTTCAGCTGAAACGGCTGCTTATCTAGACTGGCTAGTTTGTACTTTATCTTGTCGGAGAAGGAAACCTGTGATGCAGATAAAGCAGAAAGTTGGAAGAATAGGCTTAAAAAAAATGAATTGGCAATTGCAATGCCTCACTTAAAACAGGCAGCAAGACAAAAAATATAAAGTGACCCAGTGTAGACAGTTACTAGTAAAATCAGCATTTAGAGCCAGTTATTGCTTGATTACTAAAGCCCACCGCAGAATAAATTTTGGTAAAATTAAAAAGTCCTTGACGCATATCAAAGGACTTCATACATTGATTTTGGAGGAAAATGATCAGAATGTAGTCTGAAAGTGAATTTACCTCCACAGATTTGATGAATGACAGTGGCGCATTTTGTCCATGCACACTTCCTACTCGGATGGTCCAGTTAACAAATTTTTTATCTGTGATGCAAGTGAATGAACCATGTGAGAAAGCAATAGACGAAACCAAAATTGCTAGACATTACAAATAAATTTTATGGTATATGTTTCAGATTGCCACCAATCTTGGCCCAGTTCATTTGAGTAAGGTGAGATGCTTGCAAAGGTTCTTCTTTCAAGGTCTTGAAAAGTTCTCACATTCAAACATGGCTGAGGACGCATTTTCATACTTAAATTATAGACATCCAAAATTTTGAGCTACAGATTACACTACATTGTTTACACAGGATGTGGTACGAGACTCATTTAAGCTGGTGAATCCAAAGGGTAGGCTTTATTGGCAAATCTAATAGAGAACCAAAGGTCCCATTTACACTCCAAGAAAGGCATTATGTCTAGTGGATGGCCTCATATGTATAACACTCATGTATACGTGTTACACGGTGTGTCTTGGACTGAATGGTTGATATATCAAGCACAAGCCTAGCAAAGCATACCTGCACTCAAGGATTGAGTTACAGTGATCTGGAAAAGATCAATCCTGATATATGGAGGGATACGCAAATTCAGCAAGTCCATGACTCCTGCAATAACCTGTTCTTGTTCAAATTAATAAAGCATATAGTGGATTTTGAAGAAGCTCAGCTGTAGTGAAAGTATAAATCATGAGAGGATGAAGGCGAATAAGAAGGGAGATAGAGAAATTAAGATCTCTTGGCACTAAGAACTTCAAAGTTCAAACCACAGTACCTTATCTACAAACCCGTGGATCACCAAACTTGCTTTCTTGTCCTTTGGTGTTTTCTGTAAATTGAGCACAAAATCAAAGATAACCAGAATATTATTTAAATATTATAACACCAGAAAAGCAACATTCCAATATTCATAATATAACAGATTTTTATATGTTTATTCAGTATGCAAAAAAAACATAAATCCCGATTGTGGTAAAATAAGTCTCTTAAAGGTATTTATGGGAGAGGATTCTCATAGTCAAAGGGCAAATTTATTTTTGTCCAATATCTGGCTTCATTGAGTACCCCCTTAAATTCTTATGTGAGGCTCATCGAAGCATAATAGCATAATTGGGAGATCATATTTAGATAACAAAATATTTCTTTTCCATATCTGATAAGTAGAAAATGCTTCAAAAGCTGTTAATGGAAATGTGCAATTAAGAAAAAAAGCAAGTACCTGAAGATTCACAATCACAATCTTTCCCCCACCACGAAGACATTTAAGTGGCAGATTGCATGCAGGAGTTATCTGCAAACTGCATAAGTAATCACATTATGACCATAGAGCAGAACATGCAACAAACAACATACAAAGTAAGTATACGAAAGAAATCTGCATTTGTCTTTAATATGCTACACATATATTAATTCAGGTACCACAACATAAAGACTAGTTAAACAAACTAATCATAGACCTATTAATCAGGGAATCTTTACTACCTAGTTCCCAGACATAGTACGACATCAGCATTTCTACAGTGCCTTTCTGCTGGATTCATCTCCTTGGAAGGCAGCGCATCCTGCACAGAGAGAGACCTCTTCAAAATATATTATTTTGATATTGAAAGATTTTAAAGATCTAAAACAGGACCATAAATCAGTAATTTGTCCCAAGAATTTTGCTAACATTGAAGGCTACGTTATTAAGCCCTTCATGTCTATTAAAATTTAATATTTGAACGAATGCTCCACAATTTGACTATGTTTTAATTTGCTTATAAGAAAGAACTATGAAGGAAAAGATTGATTTAATATGCCTTCATTGAAAGAAGTTCACAATGAAGATACCAGAAAGAAATGACCAGATTAAATGATGACACATCTACGAACATATATTCCTTCAGTCTCAGAAAAGATGCAACCAAATTACCTCCCAGTCAAGAACTGTATCCTTAAGTTTTCCTCCACAATTTTTTTCAGAGCAACGTCGTGATGTCTCTTTTAATCCAATTGTTTCCACCTCAAAGTCACGAAAATACCTTCAAAGGTTAAATAATATTATATTTCAAATTTCAAATAATGAAACAGCAAGTCTTGAAACAAGTCATTGCTTTTCAAAAGCAGAATATAAACATGACAACAACAAAAGGACTTAAAAATATTTTTTGTAAGGAAAGGTTACATATATATTTAGAACATGTGCTTCAAATAAAGATCATGTCTTACTCTTTTCCACATGATGGACAAGCCTCCATGAAGGAGTCCCCATGCAATTCTGCAAGTTTCTCTCTAGGTATTCCAGAGCGAAGATGGAGACCATCTATATTCTAACATTTAGAAGCAATAATAACATACTGAATCAGAAAACCAAGCTGAGATGTATACATGTCTGAAGAATTAATGAGTCATTGGCATGTGGTACAATAAATGAATGATTGATGTCATCCCAACCCAAGTTCCCAACTCAATGGAAAACCTAAACACTAACATGAAGTCGGCAGCAGGTTATAAATGACTCCATCATCAAACTTGATGTCCTGCTATCTGCAGAAAATATGCAGCATAAGCCTAAAGAAAGGAATAACAAAGATCTACCTGACTAATAACAAACTTTAAAATGCCTGCCTTCTCTAACTCAACCAAAGCCATATGAGTCATGCTTGGCATTGCGCGATGAAATGGTAGGGATGCTTCAGGCAAGGGTTTGCCTTCACGCTATATTTGAAAATCAGAAGAACACAAATGTCAAAAGAAGTTAACATAGAATGATCAATCTGCACAGCCAATGCAAGCAACACTAACTTGCAGACAGCTTGTTGGTGATTGAGAATGATTTACAATATAATTTCATAAGCTTCTTGAAAAAGAACTTATTGTTACTACTATATCATATTCAGTTCTTACTACTTATATCATATTTACTTTTCTTCTTTTTTCTTTATAAGATATCATGAAAGATGTATTAATAATAAGAGCCATACAAAAGTGAACAAGCAGGAAATAGATAAAACTTCAGATAATTTCATCATAGTCAAACATCAGTAACCGCATCAATGCTCAAATCCATACCACAATGATTTTCAAAATGGTTGCCTATTCAGATGTTTGTAATCAAGTGGATGATAACATGTTCATCATCAACTTATAGGTTTGACAAAAACATAGATATATACAGAAGTAGCCATCATCTGTAACTGGAATAACTAAAAGTGCACCTATAATAGATCTCGACTGAACAGACCCATCAAACAATTGTCACATATCGCCTATCCCATTATTTTCTATAAAGATACTAATAGAGAAAAATCATTATAAAACATATATATTCCTCTCAAAAAGAGCTTCATTCAATTCATGTGAGCAAATAAAATTCACAATTTTCACCTGTAGCGTCCATATTCCCTTGGGACCTCGAAAATCAGGTATACCGCAAGAAGTAGATATTCCTGCACCTGTAAACACTACTAGATGCTTACTCTGCAAATACAAACAAAAAACTTAAAGAGGCTGATTGTGATGAATCGCAGATAAACATCCATAACCACGACCATAAGCAGGTTATTGTGTTCAAACCTTTTGTATTAATTTGGCAAGCTGTTCAATCTGCCATCACAAACATGAAACCAAACTGAGGTTAACATAACAAGCAAGAGCATGACATATCATTTCATTTTACAGAGAATCAAAAACCTTGGAGAACAACCACAAGCATGTTGAGTGAAAACAGCTTAATTATGAAAGCATAGTGGTCGTCCTAACTTTTTTTGTTTTTTTTTTTCTTTTTTTCTTTTTTTGTGTGGGGGGTAACTAAATTATTTTCATTATACTTTCTTTTTTTGTGTGGGGGGTAACTAAATTATTTTCATTATACTTCACTGCATATTACCTAACCATCTGAACCTAAAACTCGAGACAAAACCGCTCTACCTTATGTAACTACCTATAGCAGACATATAAACAGCATAACCATTCAATGCACTAATCTCATCTCTGCACAGAACACTTCTTGATCCACATTAGGCAAAATCTCAAGCAAACCTATAATGCATTTCTTTCACAATCAAAGACTCAAGGCACAACTCAATTCATTCCATGATTAGTCTTCGACTACAACTTATGTCTCAGTCAATACATCTCCCCACATACACATTTCCATTAACTTCCATAAAGTTGATCAACAATACTCAAATCAACGCTTCCCTCAAAGCATGATTCAATTCTGTCCAATATAATTCTTCAACCACAACTTATTTCTCAAGTCAATACATTTCCCCAAATACACATTTCCACTAACTTCCCTGCAATTAATCAACATTACTCCAATCAACACACCACAACCACCACCACAACAACACAAAAAAGCCATAAATTTCCAACCCCACAAACTCACTTCTAATCATCACAAACGCCAATACCCAGATGCCAGATCTCCACAAACAACTCAATACACAAATAAGCAAACTCTCAAACCCCATATTGCAGCAATACTTCAACCAAACTTCCAACCTTTAAAACCTAAGTAACATTAACGGCACCATTCCAAGCACAACAAAAAATCATGAAACTAAACAAAACTACATTAAAAAAGGGGAACAGAAACAAGAACCCAAATGGGAAAAAGAGTGAGAAAGCTAACTTTTTCTTGAAGAAGTTGAGGTGAGTCAAAGAATTCAGTCATGCCAACGTTGCCCACATCTTCTATAAAAGAGAGCTTCTCCGCGTAGCCCAAAGACATGGCTGTTTGTATTGTACTTGTAGAGTGTTGTTGAGTCTCTCTATACAAAGTTGATAAAAGAGAGATAGAGAGAGAGTGAAAGGAACTTTTTTTCCTTATATATTTTTTCTTTGTTCTTCTTCCTCTTCTTTTCTTTCCTACTGCTTAAAAGCACTTGCATTAGAAGTCATTTGCTCCTTTTAAGGAGACCCCAAAGCAAAAATACCCACTAAGCTTCACCTTGCATAAAAGGAATTTTCCTTTTTTACTATTTTGGGAAATTACTTTATACCCCTTTTTAATTTTTATTGTTTTTTTTTTTTTTTTTTTTTTTGGTAAACATGGTTTAGAACATTAGTTATATCAATACCGCTAGTCAATATATATACCGCTTAAATCTTGGCAATTAAGGGAATTCGAACCTAAAACTGTGTGTTTTAACCACGAGCGTTCGTCTTACCCCTTAAGCTATCCAAAGGTAGGTCACGACTCACAAGTCAATATATGCATATCACATAGATATTCAATTCGTCGACCACCAATCATATTAAGTAAAAAAATAAATAAGTAAGACAAAAATTTATATATAACAGGGAAAGTTCAAGAGCCCCATTTTTTTTTACATAAGTTTTCATATAATTTTTGAGTTGTTAGATTGATGTATTTGAATGGTTGAGATTGCATCTAAATATGGTGCGTTAATTACGCAAATTATATTAAATCTCAACCATTAAAAGTGCTTTGATCCAATGGCTTATAACTTGTGTCATATTTCCTTTACAGATATTTTTTTTAATTTTTCTAATTATATAAACTTTTCTTGTGACAATAATGCCCATGAGGCACTTCCTCATGTTGTCAAAGAGATAGAGGTGTAATTGGGCGTGCTCCTATAATTGTGAAATAAGGGTCAAATTTTGGAAGGGGCCAAGCAAGATACCTAACCAAAGTTTCAAGAATGTCCATAATTGGAAGATTTTGATATATATAATTGTGCGTTTGTTTGGCTATTTTCAAAATACTCTATTCCTATCATAAATAAAATGCATATTTGTTTCTCTATTCTCAAAATCATATCATATATTATTCAACTATTTAAAACCTCCATAGATTTATTAATTTAATTAAACACCCCAAACAAAAAAGTTTTATAAATTGACAAAAATACCCACACCCACCCACATTTGTCAAATTCTGGCAACCACCGTCGAAAGGTGGATATGGTCGGAAAAAGCCAAATCCATGGCCACATGTGGTCGTCAATGACAGCTAATGTATGGCAATTGTTGACCGTCAACAACAACCATATCTTTAGCCGTCAACGGCCAGATCCAACCGTAGATCTGGACTTTTTCGACCAAATCCACCAAAAAGACCATAGCGGCGCACGACCGACCAGATCTGACCGGTCATGAGCAATGAAACAAGATTCTAGCCAGATTCCGACGGTGGTGGCCGGAATCTAGCAACTGTGAGTGGATAGGGGTGTTTTTATCAATTTTTAAATATGACCTCGTAATAATAACCCAATTAAACCTAACAATAATATTTTTAAAATACTACTCAAAATAATAAAACAAACACACATATTTTTTTTTAAATGGGAATTTACATGGTATTTATTTGTCATTAATTCTTTGCATATGAGCCTAGGAAGCCATTTATGATCCTTATTTATTGCTTTTGATCCTTTCTCTTATGTATAGTTATTGCTCAAATAAATAAGATTGATGGGTAGTTTTGAAAGGGTTGAGTTTTAAGAGTAATGCTACACCAACAACATTTTCTCACAAATTTTTTTCTCATAACCCCAACTAGCAGCTCATCATTGGTTAACTTGTACAATAGGTCCCACCTGCTTGTATGAGTCTCATATGTCTCTTTGTGAGCTAACCAATGACGAGCTATCACGTTAGAATTGTGAGAGAAAGTTTGTGAGAAAAGGTTGTAGGCGTAGCATTTTTTGAGATTTAAAGAAATGAGTGTTTTTATCGGGATCAAAATCCTCTCCGGGCTTTTGCTTAAATAAAAAAAGTTTATGTCATAAAATATTGCTCAAATCAAGAAAGAATTATGTTAGAGAGAAAACTCCATTTTTATATGAGTTGTTTTAACTTGTATGTAAGACCATACGCTTAAAACAACAAACGAAAAATTGATCATATCAATATATTGAAAATTATGAGTTGTGCAGTAAATCATTGAAGCATCGATTCACGCAACGTGTAATTTGTTAACTTTATTTACAAATTTGTCATTGTAATAATGTATAAACTTACTTTTTACTAAATTAAGGGTCTAGTTTTGATTCATATTTTTTAAGTCGTACTTGTGCACAGAGAAAACACAAAAAGCAATATGAGAACAATAAACATAGGATTTGCACCTAACATCCGAACCATTTTAAAAATATTTTTCTTGTGTTATTGTTTGATTTCTTATTCATCCATTGATCCAGCATCGAAATCATGAGTTTCATATAAACTCCTACGTAGACTTCATCTCAGATCTTACGCACTTCTCATTGGTGCAAATCACAGCATCAACATTTTGTATTTTTCTTAGTAATCTTGAGGTAAACAACTCTTTTTATATATACATATACTAAAATCACCTAAAACAAATTAAATATATATTATAATAATATTTATACATAAACAAAGTAAATCACTTGTGTAACTAACCTAAAAGCTACACCCAAATAGTGACAAAATATCTTGAGAACCAATAATATACTATACAAATAATACACTATACCACCATAAGCTCATTATTTATGACTAGAATTGAAGGGAGAAAAATAAGGCAAGATTGATGTAAATGCCAAAATATATAAGTGGCAATTTGACTTTGAGTTTTAGATGTTCACAAAATTCAAATCAAGTTAGCTTCATCATTAGTAATATGGTGACCATATTTTGAAATAAAGGGTGCATGGGGGGGTTGTACTATTTCTTTCTTTAAAGTGGATTTCATAATGGGGGGTCAATTAGATTAGGCATTTCAAAGGGGGCATGACCATTAGGAAAAGCATTTTGTACTTCTTTCCTAGCCAAACTTATGTGACATATAAGTATATAACTACTTGCACTCTTTCTATTTTACATGGTGTAGTTTTCGAGGTGACATCGATAACGGAATCATCCTTTGATACTAGCATGGCAATATTATCGTATTAATTGGTAGGACGAGTGCTAATAGGTGTGGTTAACGCGTAAGGTCTAAGGCTCAAATCTCTTTCGCTCTCAAGATTTAAGCAAGTGATTATGGTGATGGAATGTTATGCTAGTCATCTACAGGGATTAGTCGAGTCATGTGTAAGTTGGTCTGGACACCCTATTTTAAAAAAATAAAAAAATCTGATTAATTTAGTTTTTATATTTGAAGTATGATATTAATGGGATTTTTTTTAAAAAAAAAAAAAAAAGGCAATACTCTCTCGTGAATCTTCATTGTTAGTTCATCTTAGTCATCATTGTCATTAGGTTCTACTATCAATCAACACGCTTCAAACACTTTGTCATCGTCACTTTCGGTAACACCATTGAACAAGAAAAACTACACCTTTTATTTGATACCGTTCTTTCAAACATTTATAAGAACGTTGGAGGAGAAGTACTCGAAAAGGAGGTGACTATTTTATCATAAATTTGAGTTTAGTTGGTGTTTCTTCGAACTTCAAGAGAGCTCTTTTAGAATTCTTCATTTGAAAAGAGGGTGGGTTAGTGATATAAGATTGAAACTTGTCTATACTCCAGAGTTTCAACAACCTCCAGAGGTGCTTCTTCAAATTGTCCCTCAATGGGATCTTTTTTCTTTATTACAAGTTCAGCCCCCAAAAAGATATGTAGACCAAGTCACCATTCACCAATCCATACTATATCCACTTAATTAGGTAGGCCTTATCGTAATTATACCACGGGACCCAACATCCATTAACGATTCTGTGCATACAATGTTCCGTCCCTCTAATCCCCGGCCACGTTAGAAAACACTAAACGGCGGCTTTTTCACGCGGGTCCCATCTGACGTCCAACTAATACCATTGGCTGATCCAGTGAGTGGAAGAGCGTCAGCGAAGCACTAGATCACACTTTTTTCAAATTTTCTATAAATAGCAGCCATTTCGTCTTCAACCTCCCGCAAAATTTAAACTAACAATAATAAACACCGCCAACAGAAACACTGAAACGGTGCGCTTCAGCCGCTCATTTCAACTTTCATTAGCTTAATTTTATTAATTTTTTTTTTTGCTGATTAGTTGTTATATCGTTTAATTATATTATTCTCAGTGCTTGATTCAGTGCTTTTACTCTGTAATCATAAGCTTAATTGCTTGATTGACAGTGAATTAATTGCTAATCATGACCTTTTTTTTTTTCCTTTGTGAATTTTGGGCTTGAGCTGGAGTGTTTGTATAGTATGTCGGTGTAACAGTAGTTCTCTGCATAATTTTTGAACTCACGAGCTTCATTTTGTTGAAAATCATTTTATAAATGTAATTGTTATTTGTATGTATGTATTTCATCACGCATCAATTAATGCGTATACGTTTGTATGTATGTATGCATATAGGTATGTATTCTTTGGTATTCATAGATTTGTACCATGTTTGTTGAATCATGTATGTTTGTATATGTGTTTGATCCTAAAGTATGTATGTATGTGTGCATATATGTATGTGGTTATGTATATATGTATCCTTGTATTTATGTATATGTGTTCTACTTTAAAGTATATATGTATGTATGTATATATGTTCGACTTTAAAGTATGCATGTATGTATGTATGTGTATGTGTGTATGCATGTATATGTCGCTCTATTGTGGCCTTTTTTGTATCCCTCTATGCGCTCATCTCTTTCTTTATAATTGTGTGGATGAGAGTCGTAAGTAGGCTAGCAATTGAGGAACCAAATAATTATTCTGTTTTGTGCGTAATTTTTTGTTGTTCTAGGCGTAGTTTGGTTAGGCAATGTTCTTTTGTGCACTTGCTGGCCCCAACGCCGGATTTAATTGTATCCATGTCATTTTTGGCAAGTTCAGTGATGCATGTGGATATAGTGTTTGAGAATGGAGTTGAACATATCAAGCTACTTAAAGGAATCAATGATGAGCATGGAGGAGTGATTGTGGAGATGAAGGAGCCAATGGCCCCTGAGGTGTTTGTTACTGTGCTGAGAGATTCATTGTTGCAGTGGAAACATCAGGTGTTTATTTTATAGAAGCTTGCTTTACATGAATGTGTCTTGTTGGATCAATGTTTTGTTTTCATTTTGGGTTCAAGATTTTCTACACAACAGCTAGTGGAAATTTTGGTCAATTGCTTGCCCTTTTGACATGTTAATAGAAAAAGACCATTTAATAATTCATCCTGTAAATGATTATTGTCTTGAATTTGTTTAAGGTGGATAACGTGATTTTTATGTGAACTAAAAATTACATTTATTGGGCTCCATATTTCTATCATTAAGTCTGCGGCTGCTTTTGAAAATATATCATGATGATGTTTTTCTTTGCAGGGTAAAAAAGGAGTCTGGATTAAAATGCCTATTGGACTGGTAAATCTTGTTGAAACTGCAGTCAAGGTAATTTACTCTCCTTGCCAGATCAACCTTGGGGTGACGGAGTAATAGAGAAAATCCAGTTATCCACCTACTTTTTCTCTCATATATGTATGCCCTGTATAAGCCGATTAGACAGAATGAATACTGATCAAAATGAATGTTCACAAAATTGGGCATATTTTGTTGAATAAACCTTGTGTATATATAGGAAGGGCACAAGCTAACTAAATACTTGAGGCCTGGAAGCAATAAGTAATTTGTTCACGGTCAAAGGAAAATGATGCTTCTCCAATCTTTAACATTCTCTTGTCTCAGCTCGTAGAGTCATATTTATAAACAGAATTTAGTTTCATTTGAAAAGGGATCAACTCTAGTTTTGGTGACTGGCTTCTGTTGTGAGCTATCCAATGAATTCAATTGGTTCTGTTTCCTTGACTGCTGACTTTTCTTTTGGATAATTGGTTATAGGAGGGATTTTGGTATCACCATGCTGAGCCAAACTATCTCATGCTTGTTTACTGGATTCCCAAAACTGGCAACACTATACCTGCAAATGCCACGCATCAAGTAGGTGTTGGTGCTTTTGTCTTGAATGATAGAAGAGAGGTACTCCCTTTACAGTTGTTAAACTTTGCTTGCTGATTCAGTTTACTCTTATTCTAATTCTTTTTTTTTTTTTAATCTTTTGACTGAGGCATTAGACCCAGGGGTTGGGTTTGCTTATTCTGCACATTTTAAGTGACCATACCAATTCTTATGAACATTGTTGAATCTGATTAAGTTCTAAAATGTCTTGTATGTTTAGGGAATATGCTCCATGGCTGATTTACAACGGCTTGGTCAGGATATCTTTTATTAGTTTTCGTATTCCCAGGGATTGATCAAATATAAAGCTCACCTTATTATTCTAAGTTAGTTTAGATCCATGATGCAGATATAAATGGTTGATGAAATGTCTTACTACTGTCATCTTACTGTGCAAATACTTGTTTCAGAGGATATTTTATGATCCTCAAATTGAAAGCAAGCTTAACCAGAATTTTCAACCTGATCTAGCAATTTGATATTCTAGAACTAGATCACTTCTGTTATTATTCAATTTTCTTCCACAAATTAGTCTACTTCTTTTTGATCCGTTCGTGAAACTCAACAAAGTATTTATAAAAGTATCATTGTTCTCAACCACATGCAAATGGTATATCAGTTTGTGTTCAGACATGCACACATTGTTGTTCTTTGGTGCTGTATCTAATATGGAATTTTCTTGGGTGGAAGTTGCTTGTAGTCAAGGAAAAGAGTGGCAGTTTCCAAGTAATAGGTTTGTGGAAAATTCCTACTGGGATTGTTGATGAGGTATGTGACTAACACCAGCAGTTTCTTCATTGTTCTGAAACCAAATTACACACGTTTGTGAGGATAAGTAAAATTTCAACATGCAGGGCGAGGATATCTTCAAGGCAGCCATAAGAGAAGTAAAAGAAGAGACAGGAGTAAGTGATGAGTGCATATAAATGTGTTGTTCGTACTTGTATTTTTATAAGTCCATGGTGATGGCCTTAATAGTGCTACTTTTGACTATTTCAGATTGACACAGAGTTTATGGAGATCTTAGCATTCAGGTAAAATTTGCTGTATCTTGAATGACGTGCAGGAATGCCTTTAAAAGGCATATTTATTTTACCATTTTTTAACTATAAACAATAACTTAAAACGAATCGTTGCCATCTTCAAGAACAACTTCAATTTCCATAGCCCAAAAATTTGATCACAGGGTTTTGTCACATGATTATAGTTTTTCACTTGCAGGCAATCACACAAGTCATTCTTTGAGAAATCAAATTTATTCTTCTTGTGCATGTTGCGTCCTTCATCCTTCGACATCCAAAAACAAGAACTAGAGATTGAGGCTGCCCAGGTACTTCTTTCTGATGATATGAGAATCAGATTCATTCTTTGAATGATGTTGCAGGATTCAAGCATGACAGAATCATTAAATATTTTGTTATGGACATGAAGGCTACCATTCATAGTTTGAGCAATTTGACCATTAACTGTTAATGGCATCTGATTCTCTTAACCGATGAAAGTTTTAGTGAATTTTAGATCAGAGCTTACCTTCGTGGATAATTTGTTTTATGTTTTTCACATGTTCACCCTCTCCTCCACAGTGGATGCCATTTGAGGAATATGCAGCTCAACCTTTCGTTCAGAAGACTGAGCTTCTCAAGTACATGAATGACTTATGCTTAGCAAAGATAGACAATGGCTACGCTGGATTTTCTCCTCAATCAACAACCTCGATCTTTAGTGACGACCTGGGTTACCTTTTTTTTAACAGCTTGGATTTGGACCAGTCAAATGCTGATGATTATTCGGGAAAAAAAAAAATAATCCGAGGTTGATATTGCTGTAAGATTTATATGCAACTCTATATTTTTTTCAATTTAATTGATCATTCTAATTTCTTTATTTCATGAGAGAATCACTACAACATTATAGATATATAACTACAAAAATTAGCTTCAAAAAGGAAAACTGTAGCAAATGCATATTTACAGTTAATTGAAATAATTTGAGTGATAAAACTTCCTCGAAGCTAATATTCATCTTTTGCTTTAACTTATTAAAATTGTAACAATAACTAATCATTTAGCTACACTGTATTAGTTATGGTAAAACATTATAGCTAATTAATGTATTTAGCTATAAACATTTTATTTACATGGCATATGTAGTATCATTATTAGCTACGAGTTTAATTATATAGCTATTATTTATGCATTAGCTATAAAATATTGAAATTTGTAGCTAATTAAGGTATTTAGTTATACAAATTTTATTTTTGTGGTAGTATCAATATTATAGTATCCTTATTAGCTACTAATTTAAATATATAGCTCATATGTGTATAGTAGCTATAAATTATTTGAATTTATAGCAACTAAAGAATTTGAAAATTAATTTGCTAGAATCCTTATAATATGCAGATGTAGATATTTTAATTTATCCCATGAGTAATTATATTATTATTACTTATGAATTAAATAGTTATAGTCAAACATAGTGCTAATCACGCCGCTAAGGTCAATAGTAAATTGTAACCTTCAATCAATAGCTAACTTAAAATAACTTTTCACTGAAGCCGAATGCGTAATTTGGTTTGGACCCGAATGTGTTTGCTTAGGCTTCAAGCCCATGCAAAGTATTTACGTTATTTAAACATATAATATAATGTAGGGCTAAATAGATAAAAATAAAAGTAGCAATCAAGACAAATAGAGTAATACTAGCCTTACAAAGAGGCATACAAAGAGACAAATCTAATCCTTAAAATAAGGGAAAAAGAGAGAGAGAGAGAGTCAATCATGAATTTTAAGTGCTGGATTTGTCTCTTTGTATGCTTCTTTATAAGGTTAGTATTACTCAGACAAATATAATCGGATTCAAGTGAGCCTGAGAGCTGGAGCCCAGTGTGGAGGAGGAGGTCCATTTAACTTGGTCGCTAGACCGCTGCTTCAAGTCAAGCCACCTAAAATTGACCCTAGTCAAATTGCTGTCTATTTTTTGTGAAAGATACATTGTTTTAAAACCCAGATCAGAGGATAACCTGTTTTGCTACCCAAGTTATGGGTCAACCGGTCCGGCCGGTTGGACCAATGATGTCAGCAACAATTTTATTTTTAAAAACTTACTATTAATCCTATAAATTTTAATATATTACAAAAATTCCCCTTAAAAGTTTAATTAGTCCCTAAATTTATTATTTATTTCAAAAATATCCCAAAAAATTACCCACTAATCCCTAAACTTTTGACAAATCTCCAAAACACCCCTATAAAATTACAATTAACCCTTATAATTTTGAAATATTGCAAAAACCCTCCTAAGACCTGAACCGGACCAGAGAAGCTATCGAGTCCTGGTTCAACCAGTCCAGTCCAATTTTTAAAACTGAGGAAAGATATTAAAACTACAAGGAAAAAAGTTAATGTTAGTGTTTGAGCTATCACGTGTTGGAAAGGCTTACATCATATCATATCATATCTTCCCTTGGTGGAAAGGGTTTTGCTAATATTTTAATTATTATCTTTAATAATATCATCAAAATTTTATATTTTTGTGACTTTAATAGGAAAAGCAATAAAGTTTGCAAAAAAGAAAATTCATGTGGGATGTATCATCCATTCAATAAAAATTTTAAATTTTATTTGAAATATTAAAATTTAATTTAATTTTAATTTAGAGAAATACTATTTTAATAATAAACTTTCTTTAATTGATTTATAACTATTTTAATCTAATATGATCTAAACACCATCCATTTTTAACAAGATTAAGGCCATCGGAAAAAAGAAAAAAACAATAATAGAAACGATGCCGTTAAGTAAAACTCGAAGTAAAAATATAAAAAGGATATGGCCGGGAACAACTAACAAGAAACCTATAAGGGCGTGGTAGTATGTTCTTCTTTCATTCTTTATCTCTTTCGTCACACCAATTTTCATTTTCATAAGGGTGGGATCGCGAATGTGTCTACGTAGGCTTCAAGCCCATACAAAACATAAACCATATCCAACATATTCTCTAATCATTGGTCTTATGCTCAACCTGCTCCATATACTCACCTATTACACGTTCCACGTCAGTAATCAATAAGTTGGAGATCAATTTGCAAGTTCATTACAAACAAGAAATAAAGATTTTATTATGGAGCTTAGCAATGATATGATTTAAGTGGGTCTCGTCTCCTTATGATTTAATAAATTGTTCTCAAAGTATCAATTGCAATTGATTCAAATCACTCGTGATTTAATTCACAATATTTTTTTGTATTGTTTATTGTAAATACTGTAATACATTTTTAGAATACCAACAACATGAGTAGGTGTGGAGGTTTAGTTAAAGGAAAAATAAAAAAGCTAAACCCACTAACTAAAAGAGTGATTCTGCCGATAATATCTCTTTGGATATGCAAAAAACTCATCATGAAGCACAACTCAATAAGATGCAATCTACTACAAACAGTATTGAGAAGTCATGTAATAATCGCTATTCTCTTATATAGCCAAAAAGAACAACTGATTCTATTGGTAAACATCATTTAGTAATTTATTTTTTAATACTTTCCTGATCACCAAAACAATTCATTGTTATGGCTATCATGTACACATATTATTATTATTGTTTGTTAGTTTATTTAATATTCATCTATTTAAGTTACATTTTAGTATAATTACTATGTAATTATAAGATATAAATATTATTGCCTATTTTATCATTATATAGGAAAGGAGTAACAAGAATAAGACAAATAGATCAAAGCGGTCTATGTCTGCTTACACAGGAACTAAAAGTTATGCTCGACTCAAACATCAAATGGTATGAATTTGCTTTCAAATATGAGATTAAGTTTAATAATTCACACTCGTTAATTTTTAATCAATATGCTAATAACTTTTATTATGACAGCAAAAGAAAAATGGATATATTCCTTCTCATGTTGAAGTTTGGATAGAATCTCGCAAAAGAAAGAAAGATAAGCAAGTTCATGAATCCAGTATAGAATACATTATTGTAATAATTTTGTATTCTCTGTAACTATTTGATTTTTTATTATGCACACACATCCAAGCTAATACCATAAATTTGTTTTGTAGTCACAGTTTGATCGATTAAAAAAAACAAGTAGAAGGACAAATCTTATTGAATGATGATGAAATATTTGAAGAGGTCCTTTAGTCCAGAAAAGAATGGCTATTTGCGTGCTTATCGTCCAAGAAAAAATATTACTGAATATTTTGGAAGTAGACCAACTAAAACACAACTTATGAAACAAGTACAAACAACTAGAATGGAAGCAAATGAAAGGGTGGAGGAGGCAAAGAGGGAAACAAATGAGAAATTAGAAGAAGTAAAAAGGCAAATGGAGGAGATGAATAGATGATGGGAAGAGAAGTTCACGATGATGCTTACAACTCAAGGTTAACAATATTCAACGAATAAGTAAATCCCTTTGGATAAAATTGTAAGTTATTTTGAAAACTGCATATATATTATGAAAATCATTTTTCTTTTACATTAATCATAAAGTGATGTACAATGATTACATTAATCTATATGATTAATTAAATTTTTTTTTTTCAAATTTGATATTAGAGGTTGGTGGAAATTCTTAAATGATCAAGAAAGATTGCTACGACATCGAAGATTCATATTTTGTAAAAAAATTAGTTGATAACATTTTAAATTGTTAGGATGGAGGATTTTATGAGTAGACAATTATTTGGTTGGAAATGACTTTATTAATGTTTAATTTTTTACATTAGAAATTTTCATATTATCTATTTAATATAAAAGAATTGCTATAAATTTGTAATTATTATTAAATTTGTTAATTATAGCAATATTTGTTACAATTAATTTTAATTGAAGCAATAAAATATAAATTTTTCATATAAATTATTTGTTCCATTGCAAATAATTATAATATTTAGCTACAAATCAAAAGTATTCATAGCAAGTAAGAGTAATGTTACGTGCACTAACCAAATTGTACTAATCTAAGTACTAACAGTTGAAATTTTGAAATTTTTTTGTTTTTGTTTTTGGGGGGAACTGACGTGGTAATAAGAGAGGTCTGTCACGTCAGTTAGTACTTGGGTTGTATGGTTTTTTGTTAGTGCACATAGCATTATTCAGCAAGTAATTTCAATATTTAGCTATTAATACACTATGTCCATAACAATATCTTTTCATATATAGAAATGATTTATATATGTCTGTAGCAAAAAATTTAATATTTAGCTACGAAGTCACTATATATGTGACAAATGATCTTGTTATTTAGTTACGATTTTAGTAGTCACGTAGTCAAAAGGTTAATATATTTGCTATGAATATTATTTTTGTAGCAGAAATTTTCAAGATTTAGTTATAAATTTATACTTGTGTAGCTAAAATGCAGACATAACTATACAGACTATTCTCCGTGGCTATAAAGGCAAAGCTTTTGCTACAAGCTTATTATTGTTATAACAAAAACAATTAAATTTTTAGTTACATATTAATCTCATCCATAGTAAAAAATATAAACTATTAGGTACGTAAACAAAAAGTTATATGGTTAACTTTTAGTTGCGTCACTTCTAACTACGATAAACTACAAAATATTGTATTTGTAGCTAAACCATTTAGCTATGCAAATTCATTCTTTTAACTACAATGAACGTCATGGCTAGAAATGCATAATGTTGGTATGAATGTTCATTGATTACGAAGTTTTTATTTATGTCTAATGTGGTGTGGATGTTATGCAGACACCATCTCAATGGATCCAACTTAGACATAGCCGATCGAAAAGGTAAGTTAATAACATCTGACTTCTTGTATAAGCAGTCAATGAATGGAATATGGCTTCGTCATTGTCTGTCCAAGTAGCAGACAAAACCATTTCTCATTTTAGCATTTTTTTTCTCTGCTATTTCAAGCATACATTTGGCATTGATATTCATCTTGTAGTATTCAGAAATATTGAACGATAATGCTCTGTTGGGGGAGAATGAATATGGAAACTGTGGAAATAATTACTTGACAGTGCCTAGAAGGCCTCAATTGGCAAAATGTTGAACAAATATATGGGGATTCAAATCCATCTTTTTCTCTTCTTCTTTACGTGATCATATTTGTCTGGTTGTGAGGATCCATGCAAATAAGGTTTTAGACTACTTCTTCATGCATCTGACAGGTGGTCTGCCATGCGGCACCAAATCCAGAATTTAGTACAAAAGGTTGAAGGAGAGGCAGTGGTTTAAAGCCATTAACAGTTTTAAGCCTCAGAAAAAGGTACAGAATTTTCTTAAATCTCATACAACTCAGAGAAACCATGGTTCCTGCAGATCTTCTGTTACTTCTATTGATTCGTTTGTTGTTGGTCGTAAACGTTGATTTTGCTAACTCAAGAGAGTTTCAGTTTCAAAAACACAGTTATGATTTGCCTTCACCAACTACTGGTTGTGTTATAAACTGCACAAATTGTCCATATCCATGCCAAACTCTCCCACCACCGCCGCCAGATTCTGGTGGTTACCCTCTATATGGAACTCCACCTCCACCTTCTCCAGATTCCGGTTACCCTTCATACGGAGCTCCACCACCACCTTCACCACGATCACCACCAGCTCGAGGCGGTTGCCCCCCAGTTCCTGTTCAGTGCTGCCATCACCCACCTCCTTCACCTCCAAATACTTACACTTATATTCCCAACGAGAACTTTTCCCCTTGCCCTTATTTGCCTCTCTCTTTCTTTTCATTAGTGACCTTGGTACTGCCTTTTGCTGTCTTGTTCTGGGTTCGTATCCCATAATATTGATGTATACATCTATATTTATCATCTAAGTTAGAAAGCTCCGCTAAATATCATCGTAAATTTGTAATAATGCTTCTTCCATTAATGCTCGAAATTTAGCTTTTTTTCAGTTCCACATGTGGGTTCTTTTTTTTTTTTTTTTTTTTTCCTAATTTTGGATGTTAAGACTTTGACGTAGTAAAAAATTCTCCAGTATTAATCTCATGACAAGAATATACTAAAACACAAAATTTCAATTAATCGATATTTCTCGTATCAAACATGAAAAAGAATTAGCACTTGCATTTACCTAGCTTTGTTGCCTTAGGCTTCGTTTGGCTCACATACCCAAAAGTTTTCCCAAAAAAGTTAACTTTGGTTCACCTATTTTCAAAATATAATTCTAAATTATTTAATTTCCTTTAAACCCCATAAATTTGTTAATTTAACTAAACAAACCCCAATTTTTTTTTATAATTGACAAAAACACCCCAGCAACCCAAATTTACCAGATTCTGGCCACCACTGCTGGAAGCTAGCCGAAATCTGGTGTAATGGCACGCTACCGACTGAATTTGGTCGATAATGTGCCGATCTAATCTTTTTCGATCATATCGACATTGGATCTGACAGAAAAATGCTAGATCTACGGTCAAAGATCTGGCCGTCAACGACAACGATGGCCAAGATATGGTCGTCGTTGACCATCAATGATAGATGTCATTGACGGCCGTATCTTTGACCGTCGTTGACAACCAAATGCGGCCATATCTAGCCGGTGGATCTGGCCGAAAAAGGCCATATCGGTGTACGACCAGTAAAATCGAGCCGATCATACCCCAATACGGCAACTCCGACCACCCTCTGACGGTGGTGACCGACTGTCCGTATTTATGAGTGAATTGGGAGTATTTTTGTTAATGTTGAATATTGTATTATAGGGGTGTTTAGTAAATAAATAAACATAGAGGGTATTTATGTTAATTTTTAAAATTCTACATCGTAATACTCACCCAATTTAGCTTTTTTCAAAATATTATTCTAAAAACTACCCAATAATGAACCAAACGAAGCGTACTTGTTTATAATTTCTCTCTATGAAAAATAATTTGAGATACAAAAATGGACATTTCCGATAGAGTTTGTTATTTTGTTAGAGACAAAAGGGTGTGTAATCTCTGCTCAGTAGCAGCAGCACTCTTTATTCTGTGTCTGCCTCTGCCATGGTTATTCGGCTTGACCTTCAAACTTTTTATCTTTACTGGTGTCCATTTCCAGTCTGACAAATTGATCCCATAAATGATAAATGTTTTCCTTATTGTCTTAGTTTGATTATGCATTTATACTGCCGCTAGCTGCTCAAATCTAGAAAATTTGTGTTGAGAAAACAAAACAAAGCAAATGACAATCAAATTTATTTTAGGTGAGATTTAAAAATTTAGAATTTGTTGTACTTATTATAAGGGGTTTTTTTCAATACCCCAGTGATGTGATGTTCACACAAAGACTTTTTTTTTTTGAGTTTTCACGTGAGTATGAGTTGTAAAGATAGGCAATATACAGGCAGATAAGGTATATCCAAAACCTCTCAAAATAAGCTTTCTCAAAGAAAGAAACACATGATTAGAAGAAGCTCTGTGGGTCATGATTTGGAAAAGTGGAGGAAGATTAGAGGAACAAGTTAGTGTAATCAATCACAAAGCTTCATCTCATTGTTTTGGTTTTATTTGAAGACAACATTATCTTTAGTCAAAAAGTTAGTGCCTATTTCTACATTTGCTTCCTTTGAGTGAGAGAGAGACAGAGAGAGCCAGAGAGGGGGTTTATTATGTATTAACTCTTAGAAAGAGAAGCCAATAGTGCCCATAATTGGGCAGAGACAACTCATAAAAGATTACATTTACACCTAATCAAAAGAAAAGCAAAACTACTACCAATAACTTCTTTAAAAAAATTAGCTCAATTGGGTCTCAATAGAATCAAGAATTATAATAAAGAAAGACAGTTCAGACGGTTCGTACGTCAAGAAGGTCTGCTCTCTTCATTAACTTTCTGGGTTTGAACTATCTTTAGACCATCTATCACATTTGTTTCTTACCTTGGAATATTGGACTTGTATGGTGTTTAATGGACCCTGGAGATTAATTAAAGTGCGCATAAACTTGTCCGAACACCCTAATGATATATATATATATAAAGATGATGGAGAGACTGGATAAAGAAATTAATAAGATGGTAATAGAGTGAAATCTTCCTAATTAATTAATGATAAGTGGCAATTACAATGTGTATAAAATAGATTTACATCCTTTTTGTCACAAATAGATCACACCCACAAACAAATCACAATCTCCCCTGACCGAAAAAATACTCAAAAATGAAAATCATCACACTAAAAACAATTTCGAAAAAGAAAAAAATAAAAATAAAACACATTCATGCTAGAAATAAACTAGAGAATATAAAATTATTTCCTCCAAAACTAAAAGAAAAAAAAAAAGAGATCTAGCAAAACAGTGAACTTACAGCAGCAAAAGTCCTAAACACAAGCTCAAACCCAGAGCAAGAAATCTTGCAGCACCAGCTTTCACACCGGCATTATCGTCAGCCGTCTGATCTGCTGGATCATCGTCGGGGGAATCAGCCGGTGAATCGGCAGCCTCAGTGGAGGGTGCACGCTTTGAGCCCTTTGGGGCGTTGGCTGCCTTCTCTGGGGCTGGAGCCGGAGCGGGAGTTGGTGCAGCTGCACCCTTAAACAACTCCTTAGGCATCAAAACCTTATCAGTTGTGTAAATTGCCAGAGGCTGCTCATCGATCAAAGTCCCGGTAATCTTGACAGTATCGATCTTGGTCTTCAATGTCACTTCTTCGCCTTCGTTTTGCACAGTGAAATCAAACTTCTTCGCTCCATCGGTGGCCAACGTGTTCATCACCCCATTGTTGGATTTCAACATGGACAGAGACTGGTAAACTGGAACAGCCAAAAATTCCAGAAACGAAGTCTTGTCTGATTTGCTCAAATTCTTATATTTTGGGAAGAAGGCCTTGAATGCATCATCAAGTGGACAAAACACTGTCAACCCTCCTTCTGCATTATCCTGTACCAAACCCAAAAACAGCTCAGTGAAAAAATTACCACTCACATTGACAGTACCGACCCAGTAACATTACAGGAACATTTAAACAATATTCTGCAATAGGGTCATCAAATCTTTCTCAGTTTCTCTACTCAAACAAAAACTCAAATCACCAGTAATGTTACATGAACAATTACAACACAAAAGTGGTAATGCCTGCCAAGTTAACCTACTGTATGGTTACCAAGCTGATATCGATTAGGATAACAAAAACATTCCACACTGATCCGGTAACGTTACGGGGCTTGGAGAAGTTGAATCTTTCCACTACTCAAAACAAAAACTCAATAACCGGTAGAGGTACAGAAACATTTACAACCCAAAAGTGGTAATGCTTGCCAACTTATTTAACCAAATGATACTGCGTAAAAGGGTACTTGTATGGTTACGGGGCTGATATTTTGGTTTCCTGTATTCAACGGTGGTTCAGTAATGTTACCGGGCTTCGAGAACTTGCATGTTAACTCTCACAAAAAGTTCTGTGCTACGAAAATTAGCATTCTGGGTGACAGTCTGACAAATGATTCCCAGTAACGATACCGGAATTCAAGTTTATGCCCCCCAAAAACCTCAGATCTAAAGACTAAATCTTCAACAGATAAAATCAAAACTTTAACACAAAAAAAAAAAAAAAAACACTCAATTGCTTGAATCACTGACCTGATAGGTGTTCAAGGCCTCGCCATTAGCAATCAAAGCATCGGCAAACTCTTTGCATCCATGGGCGGACATGATCCCTGTAAGATTGACCTCACTGGGCCCGGGAGCGGGGGCCATCGCCACGTCAGACGTGAGGGCCTTGCTGATCTGAATAACAGAAATGTTGTAAGGCTTCTCTGCGACACTCTTAACGAACACGGCATCAAGGTTCCCGCCATTATCCTCGGCACCGAAACCAACTTTCCCGCCTTTTAAATCGGTTATGTTGACGAACCCAGCTGAGCCGGGGGCGGAGCCGGTGGCCTGGAACATGGTGGCGGCCAATGCGGTGCCGTTGGTGATCTGGTGGAGCTTCTTGGCGCCAAAGTAGTCGAGGAGGACGTGGAGGGAGAGAACGTTCTTGATGGTGTTGATGGAGGGGTGGCTGGCGAGGATGTCCGACATGGCGGCGTTGCTGAGGGCGCAGACGGTGATCGTGGTGCGACGGTTAATCTCGTCGGCCAGGTGGGTGGCGGTGAGATAGTGGTTGAAGGTGGAGAAGTCGGGGTGGTCGGCTAGTATGCGCGTGATGTTGTGGGCGTGGCTGAAAGTGAAGGTGGTGGTGGTGGTGGTGAAGAGAAGGAGGAGGAGAAGCTTGAGCTGCAGCATTGTCGTTTTGAGGAGAGAGAAACTAGAGAGAGAGAGAGAGAGAGAGTGAAGGTTTGTATCGCGGAAATGGAGATGCAGAGTAAGGAAGAGAGTGGGAGTTAAAAGTGAGGAGAGGACTGAGGAGTGGAGAAGGTTGAAGAAGATGTTAATGGAAACAGGGCTTGGATTTGAGGTTAATTACAAGTGCAGCCACTACGTCTTTGTAGAAGATCTTGTCGAGATTTTATTTGTAATCTCCTGTTTTTGTCACTATCATTATAATACTTTTGATATTATTTAATTATGTTAATAGAAGATTTAATGAATTGTAATTATGGATTGAAAATCAATGAATTAGATTATTGGAATATTCAATTCTTTAAACAAACAGGTTTTGCTGAGAGCTATTATACATTATTAGGTTAACGTTACCATCCATTTGAAATTGACTTGCAAAGTCAGTATACATTATCAGGGTAACGTTACGGTCCCTTTGGAGTAAATGTATAAGAAGTATTATAAAGGTTACTCTATACTATCAAGATAATATTACCTCTTTCTAGACCAAATTATGATCTATAATCAAGGTCGGGATAGGGTTACGTTACCTGCTACATAAACTTAATCCCTTTAGTAAGTAGTATCCTACGAGACTAGCGTAACAATTCGCCCACCGTTAAGGCCCTCTACTCAAATCACGAATACTCAAATAAGAAATTGAATATAAAACTGTGTATTTATCCACATTATCTTCAATTCGCCCTAACCATATAAATTACTCACGAATGGATTAAACTATCAAATTCGAAGTGATATAACATGAAATGTGAAAGTCTAGTAATGTGGGGATGTAGATATAAATAAAATATTAAATATATATATTAAAAAAAAAAAAAACCCTAGAATGAGGCCTTACCCTTGTGTTGGTTTGTCCTGTTCAACAAATTAAAATATTAATTAAAAACCCTAGAGTGGTACCAAGAAGAAATCAAGAAACATTGATTAGATTGGTTTCAATAATGGCAATGCCTTAAACCAAGGCCTTTTTGGTAATTGTAATTATTTATGACTTAATGACAATTTATTATTTGCTTTTATTATTGTATTTGCTTTGAGCGTGTGTGTTTCTCTCAAAGAAGAAAATTTTAATTTCTAAAATACAAATAAATAATTCATTGCACAAAAAAAAAAATAATAATAATAATAATCCTTTTTAGAAGCTTTAATAAGGCATTACCTAACATAATTTCCGATGATACTAAATTAAATTATCCGTGTAATCAAGACATAGGTTAAAATCACATGATAAGATAAGTTATGATTAGTTGGCCATTTATACATTGTAGAAGGACTTTTCTTACATTTAGACGGATATGATAACGAGAGTGGTTTGAGGGATTTTATGGTTGTTATATTGAATTTAATTATTTGTGTCCAATTTTTTTTTTTTAAAGTGAGTTATATAATATATAAATAATTAATGATAAAGGGTTATTCGTGTCCATTCAAATAATATCTTAAATTTGACTTGTTTGGTAAATTACAAGGATTAAAAAAAATTAAAAAATTAAAAATTAAAAAAAAACTCGAATTTGATATAAGTGTACCTTAGATCTAACTTGGGCAAGTGTAGTCCAAGCTAAGGTATTTACATCCTCAGTGATTTGTCTTCTTATGTCGTGTATTATTTACCATAAAGTCCTTAGAGAAATACGTATAATACATATATTTGATCAGTACAATTTACACATCATGTGATTTTACGAGCATCCAATTGGTCTTGTTGAAAATTTTCTCATTAATTGAAAAATCATGTGTCATCCTCTGTCGTGTATTATATATTACAGAGTGTTCAGTAAGATACACACACTAACACTTGTTCAATCACTATAAATCATATAAGATGATTGAACGGTTACGACTTACCATAATACATACGTAATGTAATTGAAAGAACATTTATGCTATCATATTATAAATTATAAGTTATGCATAAATACTACATGTAAAACATTTTTATACAATATTTCTCATTCGTATAATATGAAATAATAAAAATTGATTGATTGATTTAAATTAAAAATAATTTTTTATTCTATTATATTTTATTATATAATATTGTATAAAAAATGTTATACATATAATATTATGCGAAAAAATTTTGGTTATTATTATTAAGAAATGAGCTAATGTTGACTAGAAAGTCAAGAAATGATAGTTTTTCGTACTTTAAAGATTTGAGATGGATGGAGTAAAGATGCTGGAAATCAGATCACGTGGCTGGGCATATCTTGATCAGAAATCAAGGCACAAAAGTAACATAAAAGTGTAGTACCCGAAACACCAGATCGCAAGCAATGCATATATACTCACGTGATCTTACTCGCCTTTTGCATTGCAGAATATAATCACCTACTTGTAAAGTCCTCTTAAAGAGATTAATTATGGGACCCATTTCCTAACACAATCTTATGACATCATGATCATCACCAATCAATCATTGACCGTCAAATCGTTGACCACTTGATGTAAAAATAGTCCAAATAAATAAATTTTCATTTTATATTTATTTATATGTTTTTTTTTTTTTTTTAAATAAATAGGCGCCAAACTGGAAGTGTCGGCTTCAGGAATTTCTTGGAATGGCATTTTTGTAGTTAATCTAAAACAAGAGGGTCAAATTCTGGGGAACTGAAGGGCATTAGTATGTGGGGTCCAAACTTCCCTATTCCACGCGCTACCAAAATTGCCAGGCTGGCAGTGAAAACACGGATGCTGGACAGGTGGACGGTGGTCATCGATTACATGACGCCAGTAAGATCAGGCACCGACAGTGGAGCATTGGCCGGGTTGGAAGCACGATGGTTCTGTGGACGGTTTAGATTCTTCCTCTTATAACGCTTAAAATTTGCTTAAAAGCAAGTGCAAATTATAAAAATAAAAAAAAAAGTTAATTACTTTAATATTTTAATTTTCAAAAAATCGCAATTTTATTATCTTGGCAATTTTCATTAATTTATTTTCCTTTAATTAAAATAAAATTATGCAAAATAATATATAATTAAATATTAAATATTATTTGTTTTATTTGTTTTTAAGATGAACAAATGAAATGCTTTTGATCCCACATGTTTACCACAACGAAATTCTTGAAAATATTTTTTTTTTAAAATAATTTAATTGTTAAAATAACTTGCATGTGTTTCTTAATAAAAATGAAATTATTTTTCAATTAATGAAATTAAATTAAAACTTCAATCTTGTCGATTCCTTATAATTCAATAAAGAAACAATGGGTGCGTTTGGTTTATTATTTTGGATAGGATTTTGAGAATAATATTGAGTAGTTGGATAGATGAGTATTACGAGATAAAATTTAAAAATTTATGAAAAAACCCTTAGGTTTGCTAATTTAATTAAACATCCTAATGTATAAAATGAAAAAAACACTCTCACCACCACCGCCGGAATCTGGCCGGAAAATCGCGTTATGACACAGACAGGTCGGATCTGTGTCGTAACGCGTCGTTATGGCCTTTTTCGGCCAGATCCACAGCCCGCTGTGGATGTGACGGCCGAAAAATGCCAAAACGACGGCCATCCTTGGCCGTCATTTTCGGTCAACGACGACCATTTCTTTGGCCGTCGTTACGGCCAGATCGGTGAACTTTCGGCCATTTCTGGTCGGCAGGAAGGCCGTTGTACAGATTCCAACTACCACCGACGGTGGTTACCGGAATCTGGCAAGTATGGGCAGCGGGGGTGTTTTTGCTAATTGTTAAACTTTTTTTTTAGGGGGTATTTAATGAAATTAATAACCTTATGGGGTCTAGAGTAATTAAAAAAATAGGGTAATATTTCTGGAATAATGTGCCAAACATTATTTGGAGAATAGGATTGAGAATATAGGCAGAAATAATAAGCCAAACATGCCCAATAATGTTTTGTTTACAACTGGGTCATACAATTAGACAAAAATTACATAAAATTTATTTAAAATAATTATTATGTCCTTTGTTTTTTGCCTAATTATATGACTCAGTTGTTTATATAACATTACTAAAAAAGAAAATGGAATTAGGTAGGACTTTGAGTGTTTAATTAGATTGTTTTTGGAGACCAAATAAGGAGACTATTAAACTTCATACCCATATGAACTCTTTAAAGTTTCGGATATAACTTTTAAACCCCCCATTATTTGTTAGACATTAACACCTTATGGTTAGTTGTGGCCTCACAAAGCCACTGTCATGACTAGGGGTGAAATCAAGTGAAGTATTTGGATAGTCGAACTCGACTTAATTGCTACAATATCGAATTCAAGTTCGAATTTAAGCCCGAAGAATCGAGTTCAAACTTGAACTCGAACTTAGAATTCGAATTCGAGCTTTAATTGAGTTTTAATCGAGCTTAATTAAGCTTAATTGAGTTTTTCGAGTCGAGTTGCACCGTGATCGAATTCAACTCAAATAAGTATTTGAGTAGCTTGACTTGACTATTGTCGAGCTGAGCTCAAGCCAAAACCGAGCCTAGCTCGAGTTGCTTAGCTTGGTTTTCACCCCTAGTTGTGACTGATGTGGTGACGATGGAAAGATGGACAGAGGGAGGTCGGCTTCAGGACATTAAGCTAATTTGTTACATATTAACATATGTAAAAGAATGTATTTACTTGCTAGATGTGTATCGGTAATAGGATACTGTAAGCCTAACAAATGGTAGGGGATTGAGAGTCATATTCAAAACTATAAGGGTTTGTTAGATATCGTATATACATAAGAGGGGTTTAGATAATTCTCCTTTTGGTATTCAATATATAACTATTAAATATTAATTTTCTCCTTAATAAGACATTACCTGTATCCAATGTATTTATATATTAATTTTATTATTTAAATAAAATAAAATAATAATAATTCATAAGGCTACGTGATTCCAGGTTCAAATCGGTTGTTTATTATTCAATTTCTAGGGTTTTGTCAACATTCATATCATTCAATTTAATGCTTGTATATATTAGTCAACTAAAGAATTATAAAACGTTTAAGTCTAAGGTTTTATGGGGGGCTAGGTGT